CCCCCACCCCCCCCACACCCCCGCCTTGTTCTCATGTGGTCTCGCCTCTTCAATAGTCACTCATCCTCCTGGAGTCTCCAGTCTGAGTGACAATAGCCCTGCCCTCCAGGCCCAGGCGTCCACACCTCGGCACACACACTGCTCCCATGCTCCCAAGAGCCTTTTGCATCTACACGATCAAGGTCACAGGTGATAGCCACAGAGGCTATTGGTCAAAGAGTCTGATTAATTCATTGACGGGAGGCGGGGTTACAAGAAGCAGGAGGGGGGGCAGAACCATGAAGACGGGACAGAGAAGGGAAAGCAGGGAGAGAGCCCCAGAGTGGAACAACGAAGGGCACAACCCCACAGTGTGTTTATCCCCGAGAACCAAGTACTGGGAAAAGCAAAAAATTCAGCTGTGGAGTCCAACAAAGCCAGCCCAGCGGCATCTTCCATTGCAAAGAGCTGAAAGGACAGCCCCTCCCCCACAGGCCAGGCAGCTGCAGGCTGAGCTGGGAGAGTGTTAGAGTCGATGAAGGAAAAAACGTTTTCCTCTGTGGTAATGGCAGAAGACAGCAAGCCAAGAAGCTAGAGCTGGGAAAGGATGCAGTGACCCCACCTGCTCACTACCATATGCATCTCTTTCACCCCAAATTGCCATCTTAGGATTTTGGCTGCAAGTTGCTATACCCATCAGTATATGAAAGTAGGAGGTTTTAGCATTTCAGCCCCCAGCAGGCTGTCTCCACTCAATTGGTGTGAATCCAGGGCTGCTGCTAACGCAACCGCCCGGGGCCTGCATGCTCAGACTGTGAGGCCTCGCTGGGCCCCAGAGCCTGCACCTATCTAGGGTCAGCATCTTAAGCATCACACGTGAGATTAACAGACCCTGACATAAACGAAGGGAAATGCAACGTGCCAGCCTCCGATTCTGAATTAACTTTATGTGGTTAAGAGATGAGGCAAGAGAGACTGAATGGACATGGCACATGGCACGAAGGGGGGCAGGTGATGCCAAGGTGCGGGAGATACAGAGAATCAGCAATTCCCGCTGGCACCATTCAAGCTCCCCTGGCGCCTGGCTGGAAACCAGGAGGGTTTCACATCCTGGCTCCTCCCCTGTCGTAATTTCTGCAGCCAGCACCATCAGAGACAACATCCTTGCTCTGCTGGCAACATCCAAGATGACCTCAGTGTCCGTGCTCCAACTGTATCCCTCCTTGGTACCCAGCTGGCTTCTGTTTTCTCATTTTTAGCTGGAGGCTCCTTGGGTGGAGCCTCATGTCTGTCTACATCAGTAATCCTGGCTTCTTCAAATCTTATAGATAGGGGTGATCTCAACAGCACTTGGTCTAGGCCCCAGCGGATGTACCACCACGTTCTTTTTTTGGGGAGCAGAGGCTATGGTGTTGGGTGGCAGTGTGCCATGATGTGATTTTTTCACGCGCATCATGTTGTAGATTGAAACTCAGGCTTCCATGAGGTATTGTTTTTTTAATGAGGCCCCTAGGGGGGACTGTCACCACCTGACCACGATGGAGCCCTTAACCCCACGCTCCCCGCCATGTTTCTAGCTGAAAACTGGGAGTTATTCATAGAATCAATCAAAAAAAACACAAAAAACAAAAAATGCTTGGCAATTGCCTTTTCAGGGTATCAAGTTATTAGAGTGCGCTTTTTGTCTCTTCTAAAGCTAACCATTAAGACAGGTTTCTAGGAGGTTCCCATAGGTAACCAAATGTTTGTGTGCAAAAATCACATCCCACAAAGGAAAGCAGAGATTCTAGGGCAGAACATGCTACCATCAGAAGGAAACCCACGAGCTGCGGGAGTTAGACGGCACAGCTGTCTGTGGGAGAAAGGCCCTGAGCACCTTCAGGTGGAGAGAAGCCTCCAGAGTTGACCTGGCAGCTAACAAGCAAAGTGGCCCTCAGCAGGATGGCCGGCGGCTGGGAGAGCTGACGCTGGTTCTGACTAACCTTTGGAGGGAGAACCATGGGCTGGCGGGTTGGGTCCTGGAGCACCTGAAGCAGCTCCTGAGGGAGGGACTCTCTGAAAATAAATGCTACGTTGATGCCAGGCCTACCCCGGATGCTCAGCAGCAACTGGCTTGTAAAGATAAAATCACCTGTCTATGCTGTTGATGAGTCCTGCCGTTTCTCTGCTCTGATTTCTCCATTGCAGCTGCTCCCCCTCTGTCAGCTGCCCTCAGCAGCTCCCTCGCTCGGGGTGCAGGGCTCACACTTAGAAGCTAAGGGAATTTCACCTCCTAAGATTCCACATCTCCCACAACCCGCCAGTGACTCCTTAGCTCTGAACCGGATCACGCATTACCTACCTCATTCCTGCCGTACTTACTCGTACCTCTTGCCCGCCTCACCTTGACCGGAAGGCCCTCTCAGCTCGAGCCCCCACTCCCAAGCTTCAGTCTGGAGTCTAGCCCCGCCCTCTGCTGCCCTCCCTCTGGAAGCCCAGGTCCCATCTCTTCTGCTTCCTGAAACTCACTCACACAGCAAGGCCCTGCCCCCACAGCTTGGCCAATGGCCAGTCTCATCTGCCTGGGGCACAGGTTCTCTGTCAATCATCAGGCTTTCCCCTCCCTGGTTTCAGGCCCTTGGAGCAAGTTCTGTCTCTGGTCCTGAGCTTTGCATCCATTTGTTTGCTCCACCCTCTATTGCTATCTCATGTTGAGTCAGTCACACCATCCTCAGCCCCACTGGACGCTGCCACCTGAGCTGATGGCCTCAGAGATGCCTACAGAGCTGGCACCTGTTCAGTGCCGCTGGCACAGGAGCAGAGAGAGAACAGAGACTGAAACCAGAGTCGGCCTGGCCTGGCTTTAGTCCTCTCTAGGCCTCGCAGTGTGAACTCACAGGAGGAATGCTCAGAATGTCCACCCAGGCCCCGATTCTCGAGTTCTGTCCCTGAGCCACTTCCTGCACAGTCCTTAGTCACTGCACAGGTCTGCCTGCCTAGAAAATGCCCATTGAAGAGCACACATGCCCCCTCTGACCATACCTGAGTGCCTGACCCTTCCTACCGTGGCGGCGTGTCCTCACCTGCCAGCCCACAAACTTGAAGGTATGAAATCCCTGGGCCACAGTCAATTCAGGAGACGCCACAGCCAAGAGCTGCTCTCAGCTGCTCTGCAGAGTCCATGGGCTGTTCTGCTCGTGGGTAACTAGGTGTGTTCCCAGCGGAATGCCCGGAGAGTTTTCTTAAGAGTGTGGATGCTGCAGACAGACTAACTGGGTTCAGATTCACTTCTACCACCTGGGGTGAGTTACTTTACCTCTGGGCTTCATTAACCTCAGCTGGGAAAGTGGGACAATCGCAGCATCTACCTCACGGGCCTGCCACGCAAAGTAGCTGAAGTAAAGCACACGAGGTGCTCGTCAGGACCGGGCCTGGCAGGCAGGACGTGCTGCTGACAAGGACGCCGCCGCACCTGTGGCAGCAATGAGTAAAGGTGCAGGGAGAGAGAGATCCCCCAACCAAAGGTGGCCGGCACTCGGCCACCATTTCATCCTCACTGTGATGCATTTCACCAGCAGGAATCAGGCTGGGAAGCAAGTGCCACGGTCACCGCCTCCAAGCAGCGCAGCTGGGAGCTGAATCCAGGTCTGTGACCCCAAAGCCAACACAGCCAAGTGCGTCTGATTTTCCAGGGGAAGCAGGACAGGGCTGTCCAGCCCCTGCTCTGCCTTTGCCCTGCAAGTACCCACTGGACCAGAAAGAGCATCTGAATATGGCATTTAAAGGGAAGGGCGGGGCCTCCCGGGTGGCACAGAGGGTTGAGCGCAGTGCTGTGAGGCTGACCACAGCCTCTGCAGCGCGGGTTCAATTCCAGGTCGGCCAGGGAGAGTCCCACATGGCGCAGCAGATCTCTCCTGCCTCACCCGCTGCTCCCCTCAGCAGTGTATTTCAGTCATTCTGCCTGTTCTGCTCCCTGCTCTGTTTCTGGTGAATATTCTCACCCTCCCAAGCTTTTGGCCTGTACCCCAGTTCTTGTATAAATAAATAAATCTTAAAATAAATAAATGAAGGGAAGAGCAGCCTCTCATTGGCACTAGCACGCCGAAGACTTTCTTGTCCTGTGAGTTTGCTCTTCTCCCGACCCCCTCACCCGGGACGTGGCCTGGTTTTCCCCAGAGTTAACTGCTCGGAGTGAAGAATCTTTCTGTTTTGTGACTTATTAGATGTTTCTGTTACTGTTCTGTTACTGCCTTATCAGAGACTGTGGACAACACAGCCCCACACTGACACTACGGTGGCCGATCAGCTAACTATTTTCTGGTTAACAGAAAATAAATGGCTATTTATCAAGCTCCTCGCACACCCACCCCCACCCTCACCCCCGAGAGAGGATGCTGCCTTAAAAATTCGTTGAAGATGGGCCTCCCTGATGGCGCAAGGGGTTAAGACGCAACCTGTGAAGCTGTCTGCAACCTCTGCAGCATGAGTTCGATCCCCAGCCAGCCAGGGAGCTACCCACATGGCGCAGCAGACCTCTCTTGACTCTCCCCTTGCTCCCCTCAGCAGTGCACTTTGGTCAATCTGCCTGTTCTGTTCCCCACTCTGTCTCTGGTGAATCCCCTCACCCCCCACACCTCTGGCCTGTACCCCAGCTCTTGTGTGCATAAATGAATAAATCTTTTAAAAAAAAAATTCCATGAAGCCCAATAAATGCCTTCGGAAATGCCATTCACCTGCACGACTTTCCCAAGGAAATTACGACCAGACCTGCTTTGCTGGCCAGTGTGCACGGCCCATCACTTCAGGCCACTCGAAGCAACAGACCAAGCAAGCACCCCACAGCCTCCAAGACCCCGAGTCTTTTCTCTTGTGGGCACCTTGCTCTGGGCATGGAAAGTGATTTCTCTTCACAGTTACACATGACTTGGGCACACAGGCCCTAGGGTTATCTTTTGAAGGGCAGAAGCCAGTTGCTTGGCTGCTCCTCCCGTCCCCCGAGCCACGGAGTCTGGGTGCAGCCGGGTGACAGGGAGAGCTCTTACCTGTGCGGTGAAGAAGGCTGGGGTGAGGGATCCCGAGGGCAGGGCCGGGCTGTTGAGAGCGATGGAGCCGATGTCAGTGCTGGAGAGCACTAGAGGGGGTGCAGAGATTTCCAAGCCTTTGGGTTTTTTGGCCTTTGGGGGGAGAGATGGAGACCTGGTCTTGGAGCCCGACGAGAGGTTCAAAGGCTCCAGGGGATCCGAGTCACGGCAGGCGGCCTCCAAGAAGAGGCTTCTGTGTTCAGAAGGGAGGGGTGAGTTGGGGGACAGGGACGGGGACCGGGATGAGGAGGGCGAGGCAGAGGAAATGCTGGCAGCATTTGGCAGCATTAAAGAGGAGATCTTGGCTGAGACGGACGAGGCCAGGAAGGCCTCCGACGTGGAGGGCAGCGACACCACGGGCCTGCTGATGTGCTTGCTGGTTTTATTGGTCACAAACCTGATGACAGTCCTGACTTCTTCCACGGGGGGGCTCTCCTCCGGCGGCTCCTCCAGCTTCTCCGTCTTGATTGCCTTGAAGGGTTCCGGTGGGTTCTGCAGGGAATTGATGGTGAAGGACGAGTACAGGCCTGAATGGATGTATTCGTTGCGGCTGGTGCTTTTGAGGGCAGGCAAGCCGTGTCTGTGTGCCTCGCGGGCCTCGGGGGGCACCTTGCAGTCGCTGTCCTGCAGCAAAAGGCTCTCCCGGCTGATCTCCACGGAGTGAGGGTCCATTTTCAGTATCTCTGGGAAAGAGACAAACTTGTACACAAACTTCTGCCCAATCACCTTCTTGATGATGTTCTGTGAATACAAAAGGAGATTGGGAAAAGGTTAGCGGAGCAGGAAAACCATGGAAGAGGTTCGTTATCATTGGGAATTTGGCCAGCAGAAGCTTACACAGCTCAGCTAAGAAGCAGGGCCTCCCCGGTGGTGCAGCGGTTGAGCGCTGGGCTGCGAAGCTGCCTGCAGCCTCTGCAGCGCCGGTTCGATCCCCGGCTACCGGTGAGGGTCCCACATGGTGCGCAGACCTCTCCTGCCGCCCACTGCTCCCCTCAGCAGTGTACTTTGTTCGTTCTGCTCCCAGCTCTGGCTCTGGTGAATTCTCTCACCCTCCCGCGCTTATGACTGTACTCAGTGCTTGTATAAATGAATAAATAAATTAAAAAAAAAAGAAGCAGCAGCAGCAGTGGAAAGAGGACAAGCTGGAGGCTAAAGAATTTCATTTGCTTTCCTGCCCTGCCAATTACTCGTGTGATTGCTGGTCATTTTCAGTTTCCTCATCTACAAAGTAAGAATGATTATACCTAATAATATCAAAACAGTTGCCATTTCTTAAGCAGTTACTACATAGCTGCTGTTAGTGCGTTATCTCCAATCCCCTGCCCAGCAACCCTAAGTGGAGGATATGACTCCCATTTCAAAACTTAGGAAAATAAGCTTAGAGCGCTTAACTCACACAACCACATGGCAGGCAAGTGGTAGAGGCAGCATTTTCTTAATCATAATACAGTATTGTCTTACCCACCTCTGGGACTTGTAAGAATTCAGTGAAATAATAATGGGAACGCATTCTGTAAGCTGGAGAGCATTATAGCAACGTTGCTATTATCACCAAACACCACGGTGTTTTCTTAAATCATGAAGCCATTTTTCCCTTTTTAATTTTCTGCCAAGAAAGCCACTGGAGGGAACACAAACTGTCTGCTTGGCTATTTACAGCATCCATACAATCTTTTAAGTGGCTGGTCCAACTTCTGACTCTTCAGTTTATGGCTCCAGTCCTCAAACATTAGGATGTAAATGAAAACCAATAATCACTGCATACATTTTCATACTCCTCTGGGAAAATGGCCCTTATAGTATAGACCTACCAGTTCTTGAGGTCTGTTATTAAATTGGGACATTGGCAAGTTTCTATAAAATGCTTGCAAGGTGTGAGCTACTCGGGGGAAGCAAAAATGGTCTCCCTCAAGCACAAAGAACCAGCAGCACCATCCTGAGAAAAAAGACAGAATGATTCCTTACAAACTGTTCCTCCGAAAACCTGGATACCAATGAGGGTAAAAAAGAAATTGGGGGCAGAAAAGCTTTAGAAGTAGCTCCTATAGGGTGGCTTCTCTGAAGGGGGTGTTGTGCACAGTCACCTCATTTGATCTCACAGTAACCCTCCTGCAGGGTGGAAGGCATCATTCTTAAGTCATAAACAAGCTCAGATGGGGAGTGAGTCACCCAAGAACCACCAAGATCTACTTCTGAAGCTTAAGTCTTTTTACTTTTCTTTACAAACCTGGAAGGAGAGAATTAACCTCTTAGAGATGACCTTTGTTTCAGTTTTGACAGATACTTGACGTGTAACATCAAGTTAGTTTCAGATGGACAGACCATAAGCTACATGTTTATACTGTGGACTCTTTGCCAGAGTAAGTCTAGCTGCTATCTATCCCGACCATTACTACTGCATCTTTTCCTGATGAGGAGCACTTTTAAGATGAATTCTCTGAGCAACTTTCAAATATAAAATAAAGATGAAATTATTGAAATGTTAATGTTCCCCTTGTGACCATAATTTAGTTTATAAATAGAAGCATATTATGTCTTTGCCTCCCTTCTTATTACATTAAGACATGCTGATTTACCCTTTTCCTCCTTAAACGAATCCTCAAATCCCAGAGGTGAATTTATCTAGCCTTCGGGAGGGAAAAGCTCATTTACCATGCCAAGGAGACTTTCAAGGAGGAATTCCTTGGGGCAAGCATCTAAGGGAGGGACACAAAGGTCCCCGTTCAACACAGGAAATCCCAATAACGCAATCCTGGCAAAACACGGCTCAGCTCCGGCACCCAGGAGGCTCCGACCTCGACATGTTGGATTCAAAGATAAACAATTTAACAGCCCACAACCTGGAGCGCAGGGCTGCAATTTAACCCACTGAATTCTAATTACGCCATCTGACCTCATTCTCACACTCAACATCAGTAGAGCTGAAAGCCACTTGACAAACCTTCAGAAAATTTGGGGGAACTTAGTTCCACCAGGGCTTAATTGGCCGCATCTACGCCAGCAGCCCCACCAGGGCTGGGGTAACAGCACAGCTGGGAGAAAGCAGCTCCCAGCAGGGAAGGGGCCACGGGATCACCCACCCAGAGTCAGCACCTAGAAAAAGAAAGCTCGTTTGCCTGGTCTACTAAAATTCTATGGTATTTTCATTTCCCGCTCATATTTTCCTCCCTGGGGGACACTTTATTTCATCCTTAATCAGTCTGGACATTCAAGTAAACTGCATGAATTATCAGATCTTAAAATATCACAGAATTGAAAAGAGAAATTGGAGTGAATCATTTCTTCTGGCAGGTTTTAAAAACTTTTTTAAAGAAAAAGAACCAACATTTATTTTAAAATGGGTATTTAGAACACAATGTCAGCAAGGATGACAACAAGAAAGTCAACAAGAAATCTGGGCCTATTATATAAATTTAAGTCACTCATCAGAAAAAAAAAAAAGGAGAGGAATAAAAAGGCATTTTCAGATAGAGAGCTGGGCCTTGGTGTGTTCAAAAGAATACAAAGAATGATACCTATGACCAGCAACTGGCAAAGGGATAAACAAAACATGACGTATTCTTATGATAGAATATTACACCGTCATAAAAAGGAATGATGTGGTGAGGCATGCTACAGCACAGATGTGCCTTGAAGGCAACATGCCAAGTACAAGAAGCCAGACACAAAAGGCCGCTAGGTGTATGACTGATTCTATTTCTATAAAATGTCCAGAATAGACAGTTCTAGAGCGACAACATAATCATTTCCTAGGGCTTGGGGGATGATGGGAAAATTAAGGGGTGACAGCTAAACAGTAATGGGTTTTTGGTGGGGTAATGAAAATGTTCTAAAATTTATTGAAGTGATGGAGACATCTCTGGAAATATAGTCAAAGCCACTGGACTGGATACCTCAAAATGGGGCAGGACCGTGGCAACTTGGGCAAAGGAACCTTCCCGACTCCCCAGTACCTCTAGTAAGGATCCTCCGAATCTCCCTCAGTTTCTCCACCCCAACAGGATGGAAAACACTGAACGAGCTGGTCATTCCCTTCAGTGCTGTCTCTTGCCCTAACAGGTTCCAGACTAGCTAATAAAAAATAGATGTCCATGGGTGTGTATACACGTAGCCAACGCTGCCTTCCCATTCCATCAAGGAGGAAGAAGCGGCCAGTTAAACACTCCCATGTGGTAGATAAATTAGAAATACATCTATTACCTATTGGGATTTCTTTTTGAAATTACATACGGTGTTAAGTAATGAAGAGATGTGTGTGAAACTGAACTTTCCTTCTTGATTTTGATGTTATTAAGGATAATATTAAGTAAAATATTAATTCAAAGGCTTGTTGATTGAATGACTAACTGTAAAGAAAATTGACCCAGGCAGGAAGCCAGAAGCTCAACCCCCCTGAGACACAAGTTTCTGTGGTCGATCCTCAGACTGGCTAAAGCTCCATGGGAATGCGTCCCACACGTACACCCGCATGTGCTTGATTGCTGGCGTTTTGAAACTATAAAGTCCCAGACAGACACCGGGGGCCATGTGCAAACCCCTCCGGCCCACACCTCCTGGGAGCACTTACTGGCACTTTCACTTACCCATGTACTTGGCAGATAACTGCTGCTGCGCTGGGCGCAGCCAGGCACCCCGATTTTGGCCTAAGGTCATGCATCAGGCATTCCTGAGCTCAGACTTCTGACCCCATCTTTCCTTTCTCTCCAGTGCTCCCCTCACCCCAGAATCCTTTATGGGTTCCCCATCATTTTGGTTCCCTTGATCCTGCACCATTTGAGGATTGCCAGGAACAGCAGGATGCCTGTTCTGATTTTACAACTTTCCCATCTTGTTCTTAAAACTGAGAAATGTCAGCCAATCACCAGGCAAGCAGGAAAGGGTGTGTAGAACATTCTTCCTTACCAGCAGCCTCGTCTTACCCAGCACTGGCAGCAGGGCTGGTACAGAGGGCAGAGAGGAGGACCCTCACATGATACCGCCCGACCGTCCCAAGGACTGACAGACACGGGGTTCCAGGAGTGGTCAGGAACAGCCCGACTTCTCACAGGCCCCGTGCCTCAGTTTCCTCACCTATCAAATGGGCTTGATCTACCACCCACCTTCAATGATGGGATTGAAGGGCATAAGCCATAGAAAGATTAGCAGAACCCCCTATACAGCCACGTGAGGCGCCCACAAGACTAGCATTAGTGTTATTATTATTTTTACACTCCTGTTTAAACCCAACCAAATGTGAAAACCACCTTCTCTCAGCTTCAATGATAACCGAATAGGCAGAATTAAGCCTCTTCAAAGGCTGTGCATATTTGCCTTGCTTTTTCCACAGCGCTGGGTGACACGATGGCAGACAGAGTTACATCTGGTTTACATATCTCCGCCAGGCGGGAGAAACATGCTGTTTAACTTAGCTGTGTTCAGACAAGAAGTACATGCACAGCTCACAGTTTGTCATGCCTCACGTGGCCGGCACCTGACATCCAGTGTGAAGAGAACCCCACACACACCTGCTAATTCAGGGGGACGGACAGGGCTGGCCCTGGGGGGAGCAGCTGTGAGCCCCCACAGAATCCCAGTGTCCTGCTGAGAAGCCATGCGGCCTGTCCAGCCAGACGAGTGCAGCAGACACTAAGCAGATACTGGTCTCCAGTGTTTTCTGACGCATTTCAGAGCAGGAAACGTGTTGCCCAGACATTAGGGAGCAGCCCGGCTCTGCAGAGTCTGCTCCAGCCCCCAGAGGAGGG